TTCCCTGCTGAGACTGCTGCCCCCGCGACCCGACCTCGGATAAGCGGGAGAAAATGGATGGATGGATGGATGGTTTTCAAGTGATGATTATTTCGACATTAATGATCTTACGCGAAACTACAGTAAGTACCTACCTATTTGTGTGCTAACCACGTCTTCCAGACTCTGTTTTTTCCATGTTTAAACTATTGATTGTAACTAGAGTCTCCCAGTAGAGCAGACGTTGTAATAGTGGTTGATCTTGCTAATGGTAGCTCGATGTCGTTCAGATTTGTAAACTCGTCCCGCTGAAGTTTGAAGAGCTTAGAAATAAGACACGCGAGGTGTTTTATCATTGTCGGGTCAGTGACTGGTCCCCCTTTTTGTTCATCTTTATACTCTGGTTATGATGGACTTACATTTTCTATGTGCAGTCTCCCTTTTTACAGTTTATACACATAAAAGCAAGGTTGGGGAAACGGTCTCTATAGATATAAAAAAACATCCCCTGTCTTTAATATCTCTGGTAAGACGTGCTTGTTTCTCTGTGTCACATTGGGGATACATGTTGCTGGCTTGCTTTGATAAACTCCTAGGCATTTGTTTCATTTAGCAGTTTGTGTTCTTATCCTCCCAAAAACAGTAGTGTAGTGTTAGAAAGTAGTGTTAGATATCAGTGTTAATTCCTGTTCCCCAATGCTGGCTAGCTTGAATTATAGCATGTGAGAACTGTGACTAATATTCTTGTTTGTGAATTTTTCCATCAGATATGGGTGATCACTCCCCTGATCCATAAGTTCTTGTGCTATGAGCGCACATTTTGTTTTTAGTGAGGCGGCAGAGAAATGGGAAAATAAGAGACTGATTCTGGCCGGGTCAGTTACAGTGTATATAAGAGCCGTGGTCACAGAGGTGTCTCTATCCGCCATAGATGGGTGGCACTTTGGGACAAAAATAGTCTTATTCTACATCTCAGGTTTTTTTCATTTCTCCTCCCCGCAGGGTAGGGTAACATTCCAGGTTATAGCTTGGAAGCAACGCTTCAGGTACCGTTCGCTCCACAATTGACCATTTAACAAATTAACTAAATGTTTCTGTCAGGTGGTCAGCTGCCATGATTAGTCAACGTAGTCAATCAGATCGTCATTGAAAATGGGTCGACGTCAACATTTTAAATTGACGGATATTTTTTTTAAAAAAATAAATAAATAAAATTGCCTATATGATTTCTAAAATGCTTCAGTTCACTATAACAAGTGTTTTCCTTTTATATCACTATGTAATTATGGGAGTAGTTGAAATTATCCCAAAATAAAAAGGTGGCTTTACGCTGTGCAAAGTGCGATGGCGTACCACGGCGGTACGAGCACTGTGTTGCACAGGAAAATGCACAGGCGCTATTATGGA